AAATTCCATTTTTTGTGCCTTTAATCAATGTTTTCAGTAAAATCCAATCAGAAATGTGTTTTTAAATGAACGTAAAAGGTGTTGAGTCAATTGAAGAAAATTAGAACAAAACTGCCTGATGGCCAGAAAAACGCCAATATCTTTGATTTCAATATTTTGACGAGCTCCTGATTTCACCACGATGCCTCACAGAAATATATATATATCGACGGCTCAGTGTGAGACGCTGTCAAGCATCACTTTTTCAAAACGGCATACGGCGGTAGAGTCTTACAATAAGCAGTCGGTATACAAACTTAATTAATGCTTTGAGGAATTTCAGATAGATTACACGTCACGTGAGCCATTCTTGAAGGGAGAACTTAGCTAGAGTATCTCTTCCAATCCATTTGTGACAACTTCCCCCCCCCCCCCCCCCCGGCCAGATAAAAGAGAATTTGTACGAAACAATTTACCCTACTACTTCAAATTAATCAACATAGTACATATTAGTTCACTTCTTAACTCTATCCGTACACCCTGGGGTCATTTTGTACCCCCGGAGTTGTATTCTTCACAATTTAGAATACTTCTAGTACAAAGATCTCTTTGAAACTTTCAGTATTTCTCAAAAAATCATTTTGACAGACTGCTATGCAAAGCATACGGATCAGATTAACGAGTAAATTTCCTCTTTGGAAAGTGGTGGCACAGAGTTCCCCACATTGTATGGATACGATGGTAAAATACGATGTACGGATAGGGTTAGTGTAAAGTCAGATTTTATCTAAATTTTTCATATGTGCTGTTTGGCGTGAATGGACGAAAGAGGTTCTCCAGCCAAGCTCACCAATTGAGTATGGCTCATTATATATGAAATGTAATTTTTGTACGTATATATCTCAGATATAATTATTACATATAGAGACATACATCTTTTAAGGTCAACACATTTAAGTACGATTCAAATTAAAAGCCGAAATAAGCCCATTTCAAGCTTTTACAAATTAAGAACAATGGGGAAAATTTTACTGACTATTTTTCACCAAAAAAAGTTGAGTTGAAAAGAAAACCAAAACTCTTGCACAATTTACGGTGAACAGAACTCCCTGATAGATATGCATATATGTAACAAAAAAATATACTCTTTTTAATTTGCTTGATAAAAAAATAATCTTTGTGGAGTTAAGTAACCAGCATATAAGAGAGCTTTCCAAAACAGTGAAACAATAACAAGTAAATGAATGAAGGAAGGGGTGAAATAATGCATAAATGAATGAATAAATGAATGACAGAATGAACAGATGGTTGGAGGGACAAATGAATAAATTATGTAGGAATGAAAAAGTACACATGACATGAACTTGGCACCCTTCAAAAAGTTTCATCTCTTTCAAATACAGTAGCAGTACCACAGGAAAATAGTTTTCAGTACTCTGATACGCACACTTCTGTGAAAATGAACATATTGAGCAAATGTATGGCAAAAGTTAAATATTGTAGTGACCTTATAGATGGGCCTACACCTTGTAGGCCTTAGTGATAAACTGGAACATTGCTGTGAGAAATAATACTTAACATTAAGAATCTTTCATCTCTACCTCTGTGGCGTTAAAAGGACCCATCAAAAGTAAAATACTTGTGCCTTTACAAAAACAGTGTGCTTTTAACAGACATCTTGAACTGTTTTTAAAGAAATATATTTTGAACCCAAGGATGCCGTATTATTTACAGGGATGTAAACAGGTTTTGAAAAAAAAGCCGTAATATATAGGTACGGCGCGCGCACTGACTGAAATAAGAATACAGCGAGACTAAATTATATTTGTTTCTTTCCCTCTATTACAGCAAATAATCTCAATTTAGTATATATATAATATGTATTGGTTATAGCAGACTTTTAGGTTTTAGTTTTAGTAGAGATTTTACAGCGCTCGTAACTGCATAAGGTCATACGAGCGCCAGATAGTAGACTTTTGTTAAAAGCTGGGGCCCAAATGGCAAGTCGGCCGGGAAAACAGGAAAAAGCCGGAAGATTTCCATCCCTGTATTGAACTGAATTAAGAAAAAGCCGGAAGATTTCCATCCCTGTATTTAACTGAAGTAAGAAAAAGCCGGAAGATTTCCATCCCTGTATTTAACTGAATTAAGAAAAAGCTACTACTCCACCTTTGTGTAACTTGTTGTTCTATGACAGGAATGGGCAAAAAGACAACCGATAAAAAAAACAACTTTAACAAACATTAGACACTACTGTCTGTCAACTGGCAAATGGATATTGTCACTATTTTCCAAGAAATTGTGTAGAATCTTGTCATCAGAAGAAATGGCTCTAAAAGCGCTTTTCGAAACTCTCTTTGACTCTTCTTTTTAGACTACAAAAAATCAAACAGAGTTTACACTCATTATTCTTGTAATCTCTACAACATATCTGTGTTAAGTTCTCGGCTCAAATTCACAAAGTGTTCTTCTACGCAAAACATCTTCCCAAAGTCGATCAGACAAAAATCCCCATTGACTATTAAAGGCACTCATTTCTGGGTAAAAGAGTGTGAACTTAGCTATACTGACAGAATCTTACCTCAAATGAGTCCTGATAACCTCAGAAAAATAGTGAAAAAATCATTAACTTTAATCAAGGATTATTTCTCAGACCTGGATCTCCTTTCCAGACAAACATTAAAAAAACAACAAAAACAATACCTACTGGAAAGGCAAAGGTTAGGGAAAAGGGAAGAGGATGGAAAGAAGTAGGGGGGGGGGGGGGAATCACCACAACAAAGACACGATATATATCTCTGGGAATGTCATGGCCATTTAACTACTACAGCATACACTTTACCCACATGTATGCACACACATAAACACACACATACACACACACACAAACACACATAAACACACACACGCGCACACACACACACACATACACACACACACCACACATACACACACATGCACACACAAACATACAAAAACATGCACATACACATACACATACCAACACACTAAATCAATGGATTTTCTAACATCTATTCTAAACCCAAGGTCTGAAACCTTACAAAACAAAAACCAGCACTCCGTACTAGAATTGTCCTTATAAGGGAGCATTACATAAAACTGGCTCTTTCACCAAAATGCAAAATCTACCAGCATTGAGATATATGTTAGACACATTCTCCGACATATGTGCTTATTTTTTGTTCAATATTACACACTGATATCAATCATATGTGTAATACCAACGTAAATGCCCACAAATGACCATCTACATAGCTGTCCTTGTTTTCTCTAGTAAACTCCGGTAATAATAAAATAGAACCCCTTCCTATATGACTTTAGTAATAAAAATAATAATAATAATAATAATAATAATAATAATAATAATAATAATAATGATAATAAGTTTACTTTTTCCCAAACTCCTTCATCATATTTGCGCAGTTGTTGTAACTATTGTGGGGTCAACATTCCTATGTCACATTGTTACAAGACAAAAATCTGTGAAGTTCTTTTAATCATTCATGTTACCTTATAAATGTGACATCATTTCTATCTGAGCTTGTCCAAACGCATCGCCCTCTCCCCTCACCATTTCTCCTCACTATTGCTTGTACCAGTTTCCTATCTCTGAATTTACAATACACCTCCCCCCCCTCCCTTGAGCCTTGGCCAGCGGGTGGTAGGCAGGAAATAGGGGGTAGGTCTTCTACTCTGTTCTTTCTTTTTGCGGTTTCCCTGCTGAACTAAAGTATGTCCGTTACCGTGTTCATATGCTTCTGTTTAATTCAACTAAAGAAGTAAACTTACGCTTTACTTGGAAAGCGCAACAGGAAGGCTCACTGCTTTTTCCCCACTCTGTCAGTTCTCTGTGTTTCTGTTTCGCCAATTGTGAATGGCCGTCCTTTTTCAATGTGCTTCTCTTTACTCAAACTCACTAGTGTGTTGTGTAGCGGTTTGGTTCTTCGACGTCGTGCGCAAGAGATATCTTTTCAATTCCCATATATATGGGGATAATTTTTGTCAAGTATCTCCTTCTTTCCGCTGAACCTACCCGTATTGGCCCTATCAGGCAGGGTACAAGCAGCCTCCCTCGTAAATTATCTCAATTGTGTCGATTTATAATTTTTATTATTATTTTGTCTTATTTGTGGGGCTGGGGGTGGTGGGGATTGACACTTTTACAATTAATTGCGATTGCATTACTCATATTCAGCAAATCAAATTCCTTTCTCAGTGGGTGGTTGGCACTTGTGTGGTTTGTTTCTTCTCTTCAAACATCTATCGCCCCTATCCTCTTCTCCTTCGTTTCTTTCCGTGTTACCCTTTAGTAACAGCTATATTCTTCGGCACTTGTTTAACCTAATTAATTGTGCTGCGAGTGCTGTAAAACTGTTACTAAGACTAAAATTAAACTTCTTACAAGTGCTGTAAAACTTACTAAAACTTAACTTCTTTGTGAAAGAACTGGCTGCTGCTGCCGTTTTGTGTAAGACAGAGGCCTCACTCAATGGTTTCACTCAACGGCCGAGGCCCGGACTTCAACACGGTGCCTGTTTGTTCGCCCCTCTTGATATGTAGCACGTGCACAGAGCTGTTTGACTCTGTCTCAGGACCTGCCGGGGGCATGCACAGACATATGCATCAGAGAGAGTCAGACAGACAGACTGGAGAAATGGGACCAAGTTAGAGTGAATGATATGGACCGTGAGACAGACAGGCAGGCAGAGAAAGGGAGTTGAGGATGAGGGGTGGGGTGGGTGAAGGGAGGGAAAAGGAGGGGGATGCATTTCGTAATAAGTCCCCAACACCCCCTTAAAAAAAAATTAAACAAAGTCAACGTAATAAATGTTGTCCAGAAACTTGTTTTAAGTAAACGAAAAAGAACATTTTAAAGGCAACAGCT